AAAAGAAAAATTGGGGAATAATAGGGATTTAGAATAAAATGGGCATTTGAGTATTTTTTAAGTGAGGTAGAATTTTTGAAGACAATTTATGGTTAGTTTTAAAAAAAAAAGATGGAACATGATGTGGAAGTTGTAAAAAAGGAGATAGATTCTGTTAGATATTAATACAAATTAAGGACTATGAGGTGAATGGTCGTTGGTACAACAATGACAATTAAAAGTAGTTGGAGTATTAGAATTTTAGGGGGGCACAAATTTATGACCAATATAACACTAACGGTGGACTATGGGTATTATCTGCACTTTACTCTGATTCTGTTAGTCCAGCCTCACTTAGGAATGTTTTAAGGTCATGTTCTGTAGAGATGAAGTATCTTTTCCCAGTGGGCTGTTTCCTAACTGCTATTTTTCCATCCCTCACAAAGCACTGGTGGATTTTTTGGGCCATAGCGCAATTTTTCTTAGCCGATAAAGAAGGTTTTGTCTCTTTTTGGTAGGCACTCATTGACGTAAACATCAGTTTCATAGAAATAGATGTTTTAGTAGGTTGTTTCTTTGTAAGCTAGTTTGGAATTTTAACAGCACTGTTTTTTTACCTGCTTGATAGCCCATCAGTTTGCAATCCTTTAAGTCATCACTACGTATGTTAAGGCGAAGGTGGGAGAGATGTTGATAATGGTGGGAGAGATGTTGATAATGGTGGGAGAGTGTTGATAAGGCGGGAGAGATGTTGATAATGGTGGGAGAGATGTTGATAATGGTGGAAGAAAAGGGGGTTGATAATGTTGGGAGAGGTGTTGATAATGGTGGGAGAGATGTTGATAAGGGGAGAGATGTTGAAAATGGTGGGAGAGATGTTGATAATGGGGGGAGAGAAGGTGTTGAAAATTTGGTGGGGAGATTTGATAATGGTGGAAGAGAAGGTGTTGTAATGGTGGGAGAGATGTTGATAATGGTGGAAAAGATGTTGATAATGGTGGGAGAGATGTTGATAATGGTGGAAGAGAAGGTGTTGATAATGTGGGAGAGATGTTGATAATGGTGGGAGAGATGTTGTTTAATGGTGGAAGAGAAGGTGTTGATAATGGTGGGAGAGATGTTGATAATGGTGGGAGAGATGTTGATAATGGTGGGAGAGATGTTGATAATGGTGGGAGAGATGTTGATAATGGGGGAGAAAATGTTGATAATGGTGGAAGAGAAGGTGGTTGATAATGGTGGGAGAGATGTTGTTTAATGGTGGGAGAGAGCTGATAATGGTGGAAGAGAAGGTGTTAATAATGGTGGAAAGAAGGTGTTGATAATGGTGTGAGAGAATGAGTTGATAATGGTGTGAGGAAGGTGTTGATAATGGTGGGAGAGATGAGATAATGGTGAAGGAGGTGTTGGTAAATGGTGGGAGAGAAGGTGTTGATAATGAGGGGGAGAGATCCCTGATAATGGTGGAAGAGAAGGTGTTGATAACGGTGGGAGAGATGTTGATAATGGTGGAAGAGAAGGTGTTGATAATGGTGTGAGACACAGTGGGGTAGGTACTCACCTCTCAGCAGCAAGGCGGGCATAAGTAGAAGGCATGGGCATGGAAACAGAGTGAGGAAAGCGAGCGTCAAGGTGACACATAGCGTGGGTGAGGGTCTCCAGCTGGTCCATGGTGAGGTTGTTGTCGTCATACATCACTTGGTAGTGAGTAGGTCTGCTAGTACTAGCCTCATTCTGCAAGTTAAGTTAACATAAGAACATAAGAAAGGAGGAACACTGCAGCAGGTCTACTGGCCCATACTAGGCAAGTTCTTCTCAAAAATATTTGCCCAAACCATTTTCAATGCTACCTAAGGAATAAGCTTTGATACACTATTAACTCACATGCAAATCTCACTCAAATCAATCCCTTCTCACTTATGTATTTATTTAACCTAAATTTGAAGCTATCTAAGATTTTAGCTTTAAAGATCCAACTAGGCAGATTGTTCCACTCATCGACTACTCTATTTCCAAACTAATACTTTCCTATTTCCTTTCTATATGTAAACTTTCTCAATTTTAATCCATTAATGTTAGTGAACAATATATTCTCTTTAATCAATATTTTAAATATCATCAATGGCTCTGAACTCAGGAGTTATGTCAGTCAACAAGCTATAAATATAACCACATTGCTAATGCTGTTGACTCTGGACATACAGTAAGTGCTGTTGACAAAGATAACACCAGAGGTACACAAGGTGCTCTCAGCTGACTTCTATATACCTCTTCCAGAGTGAAATGTTGTCTACAATAACAAACACAAGCCAATAATGTGCTCTCAACTGACTTAATAAAGCATGATCCACGTGAACCCTAGTCTACAATGAAGCTTGTTAGCATACTACTATTTATAATATACACAGTTTTCAGGGTAGCAGGAGATACACGACTTGAGAGCAGTGAGAGATATACAAGATAATCATTATTATAATAAAAAGTGCTAAACCAACAAGGGTCATACAGCACAGCAGGGCAGGGAAGGGTGCATGGATATTGGTTAGCAAGAGGGAGAGGGATTATAATTAGGTCATGGAGTGGAGCGAGGCAGGGGATAGTGCAGGGGTAATATTTTTTTTTTTTAACATGTCGGCCGTCTCCCACTGAGGCAGGGTGACCCAAAAAGAAAGAAAATCCCCAAAAAGAAAATACTTTCATCATTCAACTCTTTCACCTCACTCACACATAATCACTGTTTTTGCAGAGGTGCTCGAACACAACAGCTTAGAAGCATATACGTATTAAAGATACGCAAACATATACCTCCAAACTGTCAATATCCCGAACCCCTCCTTTAGAGTGCAGGCATTGTACTTCCCATTTCCAGGACTCAAGTCTGGCTAAATAAAAATAACCGGTTTTCCTGAATCCTTCACTAATATATTACCCTGCTCACACTCCAACAGAATCGTCAGGTCCCAAATACCATTCGTCTCCATTCACTCCTATCGAACACGCTCACGCACGCCTGCTGAAAGTCCAAGCCCCTCGCCCACAAAACCTTCCTTACCCCTTCCTTCCAACCTTTCGAGGGACGACCCCTATCCCACCTTCCTTCCCTACAGACATAAATGCTCTCCATATCATTTTACTTTGATCCATTCTCTCTAAATGACCAAACCACCTCAACAACCCCTCTTCAGCCCTCTGACTAATACTTTTATTAACTCCACACCTTCTTCTAATTTCCATATTCTGAATTTTCTGCATAATATTTACACCACACATTGCCTTTAGACAGGACATCTCCACTGCCTCCAACCGCCTCTTCTCTGCTGCATTCACAACCCAAGCTTCACACCCATATAAGAGTGTTGGTACTACTATACTTTCATACATTCCCTTCTTTGCCTCCATAGATAATGTTTTTTGTCTCCACATATACCTCAATGCACCACTCACCTTTCTTCCCTCATAAATTTTCCATGATTAACCTCATCCTTCATAAATCCATAAGCTGACACGTCAACTCCCAAATATCTGAAAACATTCACTTCTTCCATACTCCTCCTCCCCAATTTGATATCCAATTTTTCTTTATCTAAATCATTTGATACCCTCATCACCTTACTCTTTTCTATGCTCACTTTCAACTTTCTACCTTTACACACACTCCCAAACTCCTCCACTAACCTTTGCAATTTTTCTTTAGAATCTCCCATAAGCACAGTATCATCAGCAAAAAGCAACTGTGTCAATTCCCATTTTGTATTTGATTCCCCATAATTTAATCCCACCCCTCTCCCAAACACCCTAGCATTTACTTCTTTTACAAGGTAAATCTTCAGAATAGCTGTAGATATAAGATACACTACTCAGAGTGCAGGCAGACATGGTGAAAAAAGAATAAAAAATATTATTTCAAAATAGCCAAAAAATATTAGTTATACATCACCGCCCGATAACAATGGAAGAGTGGAGGCAAAGATAATAAATACAGTTTGACAAAAAAAAATTGGTCTTGAAGGAGCTAGGATAATGCTGAAAGAGATGCTTGAAAATTGGATTATAACTGTGAGAGATTGGTAGGTGTTGATCTGTGGAAGTAGAAGCTAATAATTCATTGACTAAGGACCAAGCAAAAACAAAAAATAATATCCAGTAGAACACCACTGTAAAATGAGATGAATGTTGGGAAGTGGGGGAGTGAAAAAAGTGGAGTGTTTGTACAGTAATACACTTTGGGATTCTGAAACTATAATGAATGAGGAGGTGGACATGTTGTGATGTACATAAAAAGTGTTGAGAAGTGTATAAAAATGATGGAATAATACTTGCTGTCTCCACTAAGTGTTCCAGGATCTGTCAGGAAGAACAGCTGAGTACTCCACTACATTTGGGGATTTGCAGCCATCAGTGTATTCTGTGTAGCAATCATAATCATAATTTTTAAAGGGGTGGACTGGAAAGCCTCGTTGAGATGACCAAAAGCTCAAACTGCGGGTCATCATATGACTAAGACCCTCTTCAGGAAACACTTGTCCTGTTTCTGACAAACCTTACCAGTGTATGCTGTGATTGTAAGGAGGAAATGATACCAAAAATTGTTTGCCCGTACCGATACCAATACTCAATTTTATGCCAATACCGATACTAATATCAAAATTAGCCCATACCACAAATACCAATACAGTGGACCCTTGCCTAACGAACACAATCGCATAACGTTAAATTCGCCTAACGATACATTTTAATGCAAACATGTTGCCTCGGCTAACGCTAAAAAACTCGCCTAACGATATTCGTTCTCGGGTACCAATTAATATCATTAGGTGAGGGCCCACTGTACTTTGGTAAATCCCTCTGCAGTAATAATTGAACGTTGCTGAAAGTGTTGAGGAAAGACATTGTGAGTTCATGACAAAAATATAAGACTGAGCATGTAAGGGAAAAGAAGCACACCAGTCACTGGTCCTTCCAAGAGTACAAGGAAAAAGTTTGAGATAGTGTGAATATAAAGGAAAGGTAAATTAAGGATGTTGCAGATGTATAGAATAGGTGGTTGGTTACTGAAAGCAGCTAAGAGCTTTTATGAGGATAGTGAGGCTCAGGTTAGAATATGTAGATGAGAGGGAGATTATTTCCAGTAAAAGTAGGCCTTAGACAAGGATGCGTGATTTCACCATGGTTGTTAATTACTTTTATAGATGGGGGAAGTGAATGCTCAGGTGTTGGCAATATGTATGGGATTAAAAGATAAAGAATCTAACACAAAGTGGGAGTTGTCACAGTTGCTTTTTGCTGATGACACTGTGCTCTTGAAGAGATTCTGAAGATTGACTAGGCATGCTAGTGGTTTTCTTTGTAATTAATATCTTATAATATGTAAACCACATATAATAAGCTTTGCAAGGAAATAAAAAATTTCATTTCAAGTTGGTGAGTGAGATTGGAAGAGTATGTAAAAGGAAATTAAAAGTGAATATACAAAAGAGCTGGTTGGTGGTGGTGATAAGAAAAATTTAGGTAGTGAAAGACTGGATACCAGACTGGAGGATGAGCGTATGTGGGCGTATGTGGGCGTATGAAGAAAGTGAATGTGTTCAGGTATCTGAGAGTGGACTTGACAGCAGATGTGTCTATGAAAAATGAGGTGAATCATAGAACTGATGAGGGGAAAAAGGTGAGTGGTGCACTGAGGAGTCTGTGGAGATAAAGAATGTTATCCATGAAAGCAAAGAGGGGAATGTATAAGAGTTTAGTGGCACTAACACTCTTATATGGGTGTGAAGCATGGGTGGTGAATGTTGCAAGAAGTAGGCTGGAGGCAGCAGAGATGTTGTGTCTGAGAGCAATGTGTGATGTGAATATAGTGCAGAGAATCCTAAGTTTGGAAATTAGGAGGTGTGGGGTTACTATAAGTATTATCCAGAGGATTAAGGAGGGGTTGTTTAGGGGGTTTGTACATTTAAAGACAATGGAACAAAACAGAATTACATGGAAGGCATATACAGTGGACCCCCGGTTAACGATATTTTTTCACTCCAGAAGTATGTTCAGGTGCCAGTACTGACCGAATTTGTTCCCATAAGAAATATTGTGAAGTAGATTAGTCCATTTCAGACCCCCAAACATACACGTACAAGCGCACTTACATAAATACACTTACATAATTGGTTGCATTCGGAGGTAATCGTTATGCGGGGGTCCACTGTAAATCTGTACTGGAAGGAAGGCAGAGTAGGACATCCTAGGAAAGGTTAGAGGGAGGAGGTAGAGGAGGTTTTGTGTGTGAGGAGCTTGGACTTCTAACAAGCATGCATGAGTGTGATAGATAGGAGCAACTGGAGACGAATTATTTTCACATAAATGTTAAACCTAAAACCGAATCTAACTTTATTATTTTTTAAATACACTACCTAACAGAATCACTACCTAACTGAATGCAACCATATGACCTGTCTTTGTAATACTCACTTGTGCTTTATAGTAATCTGTTTACATTAATGTTTTATCACTGATTTCATCATTGCTTAGTTAATCTTAAGTTAATTTTAAGCCAGCCCGTAATGCTATGCATAGTATAAGTGGCTTTGGCATACTGCTCTTATCTGTATTTTTTTGTACCTCTGTATGTGTGCTCAAATTGGAAATAAATAAATAAATAAATAAATAAATAAATGACCTGACATGCTGTTGGAGTGTGAGCAAAGTAACATTTTATGAAGGTGGGAAGGAGGTGGGAAGTACAG